ATCAGTAATAGGATTATTTATTGGTGGCGCCTATATAACGTACTTAAAACCAGGTGCCAAAACACTAGCTATAGTTGTGACAGTTGTGGAAGTATTGGGCAACACCGGTATGTTTTCGGCTATATTCTTGGGCTGCCCGGCCTCGCACTTCGCAGAACTTCCGCCTACTAATGAGAAGTGAGATCAGAAATACTGTTTTCCTATTTATTAAGATTTCAAAATCAAATAATATTTTGTTATGATGCAGTGGCTTGAGTTTTCAATCATCGTGCAGTGCAAACTGTGCTTGCACAATGAAAAGATTTACGCCTATCTGTGGTCCCGACAATAACACCAATTACTTCTCCCCCTGTTTTGCCGGATGTCAACCAAACTCATTGATTCAGTCAACCGACGGACTAAATGTGTGTAAATTATTATTAGTGTAAAACATTTTAAATTCAATTCCTATTCATAGCAATACTCGATGTGTGGGTGCATTAAAGGCCAGGGAATGGCTACTGAAGGTTATTGTAAGACGGATTGTGGCAATAATTTTGAGACATATGTCACACTCTTTAGTATCAGTAATTTGATCGGAACCCTTGCCTGGACGGGAAATACTATCATTATGTTGAGGTATATCATCACAGATACTATTATAAAATAAATAAATAATTTATGCGATTTCTGTAAATGCATAGAATTGTGGATAAAGTAGATAAAAGTTTTGCAATGGGAGTGATGGGTACATTTTGCAACATATTTGGTATATTAACACATATTTCACAAATGTTTATATATGTTAAGTATTGAGTTTGTTTGTACTGATGACAGCATTCTTCCCGTACCCACTGGTGTACGGACTGGTAGCGGACGCCTCGTGTAAGCTATGGGAGTCTAAGTGCGGCAAAAAGGGTAACTGTTGGGTGTATGACACCGACAAGTTTAGGATATATATGCACGGACTCACTGTTACCTTATATTGTATGGCTTCTCTATTTGATGTATTTGTGATTTTTATGTCGAAGAGAATCAGGAATTTATACGATGAAGATGAGGACAGGGAGGCTAAGGATATCGATAGTGATTAATGACTTTTAGATATGTTTTAATAAATTTAATTTTAACTTCAAAAATAATGTTGACTTTAATGTTGAGCAATTGAATCTCATAATCATATGCATATATTAATATCTGAATCATATTAATTAACTAAAATTTTTATAAACTAATTTCTAGTAATTTTATATTACAAATAAATTAAATTGTTATAATTATTGCAATTAAATTTTTAGTATTTNTTGACTTTAATGTTGAGCAATTGAATCTCATAATCATATGCATATATTAATATCTGAATCATATTAATTAACTAAAATTTTTATAAACTAATTTCTAGTAATTTTATATTACAAATAAATTAAATTGTTATAATTATTGCAATTAAATTTTTAGTATTTTACATGAGCAAAATTAATATGTTTGCACTTGTTTTTAACAGAAGGGTAGAGTTTTACCATAATTAAGATTATTGATTAATACATTATTAGGTAATAATAATTTACAAAGTATTTGTACGGGTATTAATACAAAATAAAAAATAAAAATACTGTTTTATGTTTTTAACAGAAGGGTAGAGTTTTACCATAATTAAGATTATTGATTAATACATTATTAGGTAATAATAATTTACAAAGTATTTGTACGGGTATTAATACAAAATAAAAAATAAAAATACTGTTTTAATTAACAGTCAATAACTGACTTGTATTTTTAGTGCAATCACATTAATTATTATTTTCATTATCCAATACTTTTATTACGACTATAACTAATAATTATTATATTTCCACAAATTGATAATATATTTATACGTACAGAGTATACTGTAATTAATGTAATGTTTAAAGGTAATTGAAATCCTAGTGCTGTTGTATTAAATATTAACTTATAGATTTGTATACTAAGCAAGAATTACTAATTAGTAAGTAGCCATAAATTTACATTTAGTTAAGTTGAATAAAACTATGAAATAATAAAATCTAATTTTATTTTTAATTATAAAACTACCAATACAATTCAATATTAAAATTGTTATAATATGCACCGTTAATACTTATTTCATTTCCCGGTTATTTAATAATTATTTTGTTTATAAGATTATTGATTAATTAGTAATTATTTATTGTGTAATAAATAATTTGATTAAAGTATTATGGTATAAAATGTGAAAAAGTTCTACTTGTATTGTTTATACCATTAAATGTTGTTACTTTAAAAGTTTATATTTAATAATATATCAAATATATCAATTATATTTACTAATATAATTTACTAATATAATTTACTAATATAATTTACTAATATAATTTACTAATATAATTTACTAATATAATTTACTAATATAATTTACTAATATAATTTACTTTGTAATAATTCATATATATTAACAACACATAATCATGTCATATGAATTATATAAAAGGTATCAGGAATTAAATAATTTTCTCAATCATTTTTATTCCCGACGTCCCATACAATCACAACAATACTATCAGTGCTCACAGAATATCAGTGCAAACCTAATCATATATTACAAGATCAGTGCACAACATGTAAGTATAACCTCAAATGTAATTTAATAAATAATTAAATAGATTTCTAATCAATTGTTTCAATTATCTAGTTCTCTATATTTAGTTTCGTTAAATCATTCATTCAATATTTAACGTGTGAATTGAGACTAAGAATTGTAATTCTATATTATGGTGTAAAGGTTCAATACGGGGTATGTGCATTTAATACTAATTTAACATTTATGCACATATTTACCTATTATTTTATTAAACTATACAGTACCCTGGTCTAGTATTGACGGGTATTTCTGGTAATGAAGATGATATTAAAAACTCACATAATGTTCAAATTGGTTCCGTATATGTGTCTGAATTACTAACCACACAATCACTAATTGAAGATAATTCCTACTTCTCATTCATCTATTTGTTTGATTATTGGGTAAATATTTTAAAAATTTCAAATTCAAATATAAATATAATTTACAAAACTAATCATTTATTAAAACAACAAATAGATATGGATTTTAATAATCATATTCTCGATACTGAACTCAATTCTGTGGAAATACTTCAGTGACTCGAGTGGTGACGGAGTTTTCGATGGCCTGCGATATATGGTGCGGACACTGACCGGACAGTCAGTCAAAAGGTTTACTACATTAGAGACCGAGTGGACAGCTATGAAAGGCAACTCCAGATCACTAGATAATATGAAATACACCACTCATTTAGTTTTAATTATCATTTGGATCCTATGCTCGACACTACTGTCAAAGTGTTTCTCAAGCGTTATGTTAAACACATATTTTAAAATAAAATCCAAAATATTTATTAATTCATTTGAAGAGTTGGTTGAGCACCCGGAGGTTGGTTTTTATGGTATGTTACCCACGAGGGTTAGAAATTATGACCCAAAAATGGCTGAAATATTAGACGATAGGCATAATAAATATGAGGCATATATTATAAAAGAAGCAAAACGTCTGAATAATACAAACCCTGTTTTACTTATACTGAGAGATGTGTTACAAAGAAAATCTGTTTATCTCACGAATTCATACAAAGAAAAGATAATTAAAGCTCAAAATCCATCCCTGAATCTGGTTGTGGCCGATGATAGGCGAGGGTACAGTTACCTCACGTATACTGTGCCTAAAATACATAGATTTGGTATAAGAATTGCTAAAAGGTAACTATTTATTTTGATAAGTTTTCATAAGCTAGCATGTTTTGTTAAAATTTAAATAAGTTTTAATTATTTAATTATAATAAAATGAATTATTCGTGACATCCATAGTTTGACACATTGTGTTGAAATGGGTTTATATCTGAAGTTAAGTAGAGATGAATTACTCGAAGAGGAAATGAAAGGACGACTGATTGAGACAAATATTGAATTATTACTAAACATTGGGAAACAAAACCCCAATAATGAGATAA